GACCCAAGTGATGAGAGAACTCGTGAGAGTCCCTGTTAACATTTATCACCTTCATGCAGTAGAAGGGCAGCGGCTGTCAGTGACATTCGACACCCCTTAATAAGGGGCTCCAGCCACCGTGTTTCCATATCCCACCCTTCACATACTGTTTTGCTTTGCTTCAGACACCATGGATACCAAGAGGCACAATTTTTCCAAGGCTCGTGCTCCATCCAGATGTGCAATGCCTTGCGGATTTGCGATTTGGAGTGCGCCTACCACAGCTCAGAGGCACTCGTGGTTTGCATTACAGGACTCTGTATTTGCAGGCTCTGGAAAAGGTGCAGAGATGGAAGTTCCAGACTAGAATTTTGTATCAAAGGAACTTAAAGTCTGAGAGGGGCTTTGCTTTACGCTTTCCTTTCTTCCCAGCATCTGGCCTCTCTGCAGGTACGGCATCGATTCTTGCTCTTGGAACAGCTTCTCAGTGCCAGAAACACCACAAATCACCAGGGGAAGGTGTTAACATGCAGATTTCTCAGCCAGATTTAGATCTCCTGAAAGAAAATCTGCATTTTAACGAGCTGGGCCTCAAGCATATGCATTTTAATAGGCCAGGGCTAAGTAATCGAAATTTGACTTTTTTTTTTTTTTTTTTTTTTTTTTTTTTTTTTTTTTGAGAAATACAATCAGAAGAATAAACCCCACAGTGTGATTCAAATTGTAATGAAGCAAACATCGGTGTGCAAACACTCCCCAGGTTGGGAAATAAAGCACTGGTGGTCCTTGGAAGTTCCATGAAGCCCCTCTCCTGTCACTCATGCCTCCGTCCTCCCACCCGCATCCCCCACCCCTGGGCGAAACAGTGTCCTGAGTTCTGAGATACCCAGTCCCCTTGCTGTCACTATGGCTTGTCATTTATAAATGCATCCTGGAATATATTGTTTTGCTTATCTAAAAGTCATATAGAAATGGAGGGGCACCTGGGTGGCTCAGTCGGTTGAGCATCCAACTTCGGCTCAGGTCATGATCTCACAGTTCGTGAGTTTGAGCCCCATGCTGGGCTGTGTGCTGACAACTCAGAGCCTGGAGCCTGCTTCGGATTCTGGGTCTCCCTCTCTCTCTGCTCCTCCCCTGCTCATACTCTATCTCTCTCTCTCAAAAATAAGTAATCGTTAAAGAAGTTTTTTTTAAGTCATACAGAAAAGGAATCATCCTTGATATACTGTACCTTGCTGTCTTCACCATGCACGGGAGTCATATGCTTCCTCTGCTGCTGCACCTGTAGCTGCAATTTGTCCCTTTTCGTTGCTGTATAGCTTTTTGTTGTGTGAAAACAACACATCTCGCTCGTAGGCATCTCTTCCAGCCCAGCTCTGAGGCACACTTCATGTGTTTTCCCCATCAGGCTGATTTTGCTGAGGAGGAAACAGCAGGTCAAAGAAGTCAAGTGATTTAAGAGCCCAGCGCGGGGGTTGAACAGCCTGAGTTTGAAATCTGCTTCCGCCAAGGGGGGCATCACTGTGTGAGCTCAGGAACACTCATCTCTGTGCCTTGGTCTTCTCATCTGTAAAACGAGAATGGTTCCTGTTCCAGTGCTGCGATAATTCAGTAAAACAAATACCCGTAAAGCAGGTAAAACGTGGCCTAGCCCCTTCAAATGCCTTCAGATCAGAAATGGGAACTGGGGCTTCTGTCTGACTTTATATTATTTTTGTGGTTTATATTTCCCATGAACACAGGCTACTTTTATGATCCATTAGTGAAACAGAAACCTTTGCCCTACAAGCTTTTCACTCTTCACCTCAGCGCTGAAGGTAAGCTAACATGCAGCCATGAGGGGACAACCAGGCAAGGCCTCACTGTGGAGACAGAGCCGAGTCTGGCCTTGAGATCTCTCCGGCAGTGGGGTCTGGCCTGGCCCAGCCACCCAGGGGGACATTCTCTCACATCTCACTGCTCTCTACAAAAAGGGCACACCCAGACACACAGGATGCCGGTGGACAGGGGGAGTGCCCACGCAAGCAGGACAGGGATGGCATGTGACTGGTCAGGTGATCCAGGTCCTTGTCCCAGCCCATGTCTCCCTGGGCTATGGCATCCTCATCAGTAAAATGGAGGAAGAGGAAGAGAGGGCTTAGACAAGGAGAGTGCCAAAATCTTTCTCAGTGAATTCTCAGTGAGGCTTTTGGCTAAATCTGCTGAGGTGCTGGGGAAATCAGCTTGGAGGTCTGTCCCTTGGCATGCCTGACTTTCCTGAGAGACACCCCAGGAGGGGGCCAGTCTGGCTACAGGAAAATCATTCAGTGGGCCAGTGGCAAATAAGGGCCACAGTGGATCTGCTCTCACCCAAGATGAATCCTGTTGGGAATGGTTGCACACCTGTCCCTTCAAGTTCACGACAATTAACTAACACTCTCACTTGGAAGGCAATTCCTTCTAAAACACACCATGACCTCCAAGGCGCCTGATAACGCGACCCTGCCCACTTCAATTTCTCCACTGTAAGGTCACTCTGGCCCCAGCTCCAAGGAGGCCACTAACCCTCACAGCCTGTCCTTTCCTTCCTCCTGTGCTCAGCCTCCTAATGGTTTGTCGCCATCTTCCTGGTGAGCTGGAAAGCCGAGGGCAAGGGGCCGTGCACTCGTTGGTTCCACAATTCACACTGGCCTGGGTCCAGCTTAGATAATACACCCCATCACCCCCAACGCCCCCTCACTTCCTCTCAAATGGATATGCAAAGCATCTGGGAAGTGGACAGCTGTCGCCTTCCACCCCAAAGAGGGAGGTGAGGTAATCCCCATACATAGTCTGACAAGTGCCTTGGGGTGAAAGGGGCTCTGTGTGGAGGAGAGTGTGTTGCTGTGTTTCTCTGGACTTCCAGGAGCAATTCCCTGATGGCCTGGCACTGAAGAGAGATGAAAAGTTAACCAGATTTCCTCGCCTCCACAAAAGCATCTTTCTTTCAGGCCACAATAGACACCATGTTGGAAGGAAGATTTCAGCGTCCAGTGACCAGAGATAGGGAGCTCTATTGAAGTCCCTGGCCACCCCACCGCCACCCATCTCTGAGGATTCCAACTATAACCCTGAAGGCTCAGGGGACAGGCCCACGGGATCTAACAACAACAACGCTACTATGTTTAAGGATGGACAAGGGGACAACATTCAGACGTGACTGGGGCTGGCCCTGTTACCTGGGCTGACGGCCCTCTGTGTGTTGACCCCATCAGAGGGGCAGCACCCATGAAAGAGGCGGCTCCAGTCGAGTCGTTAGCAGGAAGAGAAAGGGCAGAGCTGTCCTGGGCCCACCCGAGTGTCAGGCGCTCGACAACTGTGGGGAGAAACGCAAACTCGGCAAGTCACACGAGGTGGCAGCGGAGCACCTTTCCCTCCAGACCCCTGGCCCTGCTGCGGCAGAGGTCTGCTGCTTACCCGCAGCGCACTCTGGAGGGTACGGGTTGTGGGAGAGGAGCGCTTCTTGCCATTTACTTTCACAGAAGGCCGTGACGGCAACAGCAAATTCAGCACGGTTTTTACGTCTCACCAAAGTCTAAGTGGCTGGTGCCCACGCTTCCAGCATCATCCCTGTGGGATGAAACCAGACCCAGGGGGGATTCCCCGGGAGGGCCCAGTATCTAGAATGGCCTTTTGTTCTTGACTTTGAAATTCTTACGTTACTTTTCAAAAACATTTTTTTATAGTACACAAAGTCTACAAATGACACAATAACTATTGTCTCCAGATGTAGTCACTGTACTAGTTTAACTGTATCCTTCAAGATCTGGCATATCCGCCCATGCTCTTCTCTGCCCCTAAACTGCTTCCTCCCTGCCCACCCCTCTCCGCCCCCCAGCGAATTTACACAGGGTAGTCGCATCATGGAAGTGTTTAACTTCTGTGAATATAACTATTTGTGCCGGGGTTGGCCATCCCACTGAGGGACCATATGCCCAAGAAGCAGTATAAGGGAGGGTGTGGGGTAAGCTTTCAGCAACCTTATGTGATTCGAGTGTTTAGAGAAACACTTTTCCTGGAAGTCCCTAAATTCAAGGCAAGGAAGTCCCTAAATTCAAGCCCATTGGTGATGGGCTCCGATGCTGAGGGACAGTAGGTGTGGTTGCAAAAGAGCATGTGGGGCTCCAATGTGACAACTTGCTAAGGGAATTAAGAGCAATCTGGACTAGATGCCATTTTGTCTTAAGCTTGACTCGGGCCCCAATGCCTAGTAAGATGATTCTACTGATCATATGCTGTTCACATTTTTCCCCATTTAGTGTAGCTTGGAGTTGTTATAAATCAGTATCTGTACAGATGTCTTGTCCTGTAAGTGCTTACCACAAGATATTTCACAGCATGAGCGTATGGGATGTGCTTTGGAAAGAGCTCTATGTTCACATCACAAAGGAAAGAAAAATATCATTAAAAAAATAAACTAAGAACAAATTTACTGGGGTGCCTGGGTGGCTCAGTCGGTGGAGCCTCCAACCCTTGATTTCGGCCTCAGGTCATGATCTGAGGGTCGTGGGATCACATCCCACATTGGGCTCCACGCTGGGTGCAGAGCTTGCTGAAGAGTCTCTCCCCCTCCCCCTCGACTCACCCCTCCTCCGCCCCACTCATGTTCTCTCTCCTTCTAAAATAACAAAAAAACCCAAATTTACAAACCAAGAATATAGCATTTTATTCATTTCCAGATTATGAGTATTACACAGCATATACATATATTTAGATAATATATAAAACAATGAATAAACCGTAGGAAGAAATATTGGTCTGAAATTGCTTTAGGGAACATCTTTAATTCTATAGTTCCTGGTAAATGTGTCTCCACACACTGGGGCAGGCAGCTGGGTAAAGTCCAGCATTCGTGCACCAGAGCCCGGCCTACCCCCCACGGCACTTGCAACGTGAGGATGGCATTCTGGCATGGTCACTGGTGTCCACAACAAAGGACACCAAGTAGTAGATAAAAGAACCACAGCACAGTAAACTAATAGAAATATTTGTTTTTTGTATTGTCCTCCAGTTAGTTTCCTTTTCAAACTAAGAGCCATGTCCAGGGTCCGACATCCCTTGAGTTGCATTCTAGTTATTGCTGGAGAAAAAGAAACAAAGAGAAGAGGCAATCAGAAAAATAGATGGTCAGTGCCACCGACCCGCCTTCCCCTTTCTGGTGACACTGGAGGGGACACTGGACTGTGCAGAAATGCGCAATGTCAGCAGCAGGCAGGCATGGAAGAAGCACCCAGCATTGTGTCAGAGGAGACCGATGGGCTGACAGGAATTTGTTCGGATGGAAGATATTCTCCAAGGAAGGCCCGTGAGCAGGAAGCAGCAGGACGCCGCCCAGGGAGAGGCAGGACCACCTTGTGGAGGTGGAGACAACAGTCACAGAACATTTCCCAGGACCGATCCTGATTCAGTGCTGATGTTGGAAGAAGACCCAAGATCTTACAATGAAAGGTACTCCAGACCCCACGTCAGCACTGAGAGGCTCTGCAACCCAACTCAGAATAGAGCACTTTCTAGCTCCCCCAACTCACCGTCTGGCCTTCCTCCGAGGAAGGCTGGCTTACCTTTGCTTTGTTCTGAACTGGGAGATATAATTTGAACTCTGCCGGCAGTTCATCTTCTGAGTAGAGTCTGTCTGAGAAGTAAACACGTCGGATGCGACAGTTTGCGTGGATCTGTGGGTGCAAGATTTATTTTAAGAGACAAAATAGGATTGCCCTTCCTCTTTTCCTGATTCTCCTAGAGTTCCTCCCACGAGGCTGTCAAAGCTTCATCTCTTTGGCCTCTCCTCAGCATGGCTTAGGAATGGAGTCTGGCAAGAGGGATATTTTGCTTGCTGTGTTCTCCCACTATATCTGAGCAGACACCTGAATATGGCCTGGACCTCTCTGAGCCCTCTGGAGAGTGACTTGGGCACCTTAGCCAAAAACCCACACTGTTCTGTCACCAGGGCCACAAGCCAGGAACAGGCAGAGCACACTCTCCTCTCCCATTTGGCACTCCACAAGAAAAGGAGCCAGCACCTGCACTCTCAGGGTCTCGATGTAATTTGTGCCATATGCCCGCCGTGTGAAGTCTGACAGATTGAACTGAATCTGGTTCCAGCCATCATCCAGCCGCATGGGCATGGTACAGATGAAGGGTTTGACTCGGGTGGTGCTCTGGTAGTTACTTGCCCGAAACCGCCGACGCACATTCTTGTCATCTAGTACCTATGACATATAGAAAAAGAGTCACATGAACTCTACCTTGGAAGAAGCAAACGACCTGGGTATAAGACAAGGGCCTGAACTCCCACAGCCCAGTTTCCCAAGGCTGAGACCCAAGGGAGAATACACAGACCAGATACAGGTCACACTGGATGCAGATGGCCCGGAAGTAGCAAGTTTATCTTGTCCGTTGCCAAGACAACACCAGCTGCTTATGACACATGACACACCCGAGGGCCCACAGACCATAGAAGATTTCATAAACATTCTTCCACTTCAAAAATCAAAAATACTAGAACAGAGACCAACAATAACCAGTATTAAATGGACACTACTCTAACCTTTAAGCTTTGAAACTTACAGCTGTTGTTCAGACTTCCTAGGTGCCTACTGCTTCTTTAAAAACGTGCCATTAAAGTTTGACTACCAAATTGATACCAAATTTATGCCGTATAATAACGGCTGCATCAAGTGTGTAGTAGAAGCAGAAAAGAATACATACAGGGGCTCCTGGGTGGCTCAGTCAGTTAAGTGTCAGACTTTGGCTCTGGTCAGGATCTCACGGTTCTTGGGTTCGAGCCCTGCGTCA